GAATACCTGCTTCAAAAAGTGCTTCATCTCAGTAAGGCTCATGATGTCTCACAGTTCATAAAGAAATGTAATGCTAACCTGTAGAATGCAACCATGCACAGTCAGTTATATATGTGTGTGTGTATATATATATGTGTATATATGCATATATACATACATACATACATACACACAAATCCGAAGGTACAATGTAAATGGAACTAGAAACTTCCTTAACACAAATATTGTACCTCTTAAAAACATGCCTCATTTTTATTTGCAACAGTAATAGTTGCAAGAATTGGCAACATAAAACATTTAAATTTGTTGGCAATGAAGAACTACAAAGTGCTTTAAGGACTCCATCTAAGATGAAGATTATTTCTCTCATAAAATTTGCACTTCATTTCCAAGTATCTGCTAGTAGTAGATAGCAGAGGCCAATAGCAGGACCAGGAAAACACAGTCCTCAGAAATTTGGGTGGATTTTTAACATTAAACAACATACGTCCTGTACAGCTAGAAGTAGGAATTCTAATGGTAGAGTGATCTACTAATTCAAATGCAAATATTTTCTTCATTTCAGAAGACTAAAAGAATTTGCAAGATAATATAAAATACAGCAAGCACACCTTTTATGTATGTTATTTGAGTATGAAAATATTCTTCGAATATGTTAAACATTCTCTTATTTATAATTCCAATACCTATAACCTTGCTATCCTACAGATATCTCTGTTACATAAGGCATATTAACCAGGTGGATAATAGGGAATTGTTTTGGTTTTGCAAGCACATAGGAACTGATGTGTTGAATTTCTTCAAGCACATTACAATCTTGAAGTTATCCTAGTGCCAAGTTTTCCTCCCCCATCCTTATTTAATACTGTAGAACAGCTAACTATACAACATTCCCTAATTCTCCTTTGGGGGTGGGGGAAAGGAAAAATACTTTAAAAAAATCTGTAGCTTTTAGCACCTTTATATTAAAGTAATGTATATGGGCATGATGATTACATGTGCAAATGTACAAAATCATTAACTCTACAAAGATACATCATTCCAAAATTACAGAAAAAATGTAAAGCATGCATTTAATTTCTTTAAAGGGTTGCTCAATGCTTCCCAAGAGAAGGTGGCTGTCTTCAAAATCAGCAACTGCTGGTGAGGATTCCTTGGCACATTTGTGACCAGCATCTTATTGCTGCATCTTCCTGATAATCTCAGCAGACACTGGTGGGTGGAAATTGATTGTATGGTGCCGCAGACCCTGAGCTGTCTTGTAACTCTTTCCACAGCGGCATTTGAAGGGTTTCCGCACCCGGATCTGTGTCCTGTGGCCATTCTTGGCATGATACTTTATACCATTCACATTCTGTGAGAGAGGATTGAACACAAAGGCTTTAACAGTGATGCTAGAGATATTGCCAGATTGTTTAATTTTCAAAATGAGGTGTAGCTTGGATTACATTAAGTCATTTAAGGAATATATTTCACCAGGCATTTAGCTACAAATCAATCACAGGATAGCTTGAAATAGGATGACTTAGTCCACAAGCTCAGCTGGGGCTTTAAATATTCACATTTCTTGAAATCTTGATAGTTCCATGGTAATCTTTTTATCCTATCTCCTTTTGGGAGGGCCAGAGTGGCAGCTGCCCCATAGATACCACCAGAACATACAATATTCCAGCCATATAAAGATGCAGAAGCTGCACCAGTCTCTGTAAGAGCCAGATCCCAAATCCTTTCCCTTGTCCTAACAGTCATTCAGCACTTCTTGCAGAACTTGAGATCACTTTTCAAGAGGTCGAGCCATTTGAAAGCCATCTTGCAATAAAATACTGTTTCTAAAATAAAATTTATCAGTAGGAAGGGAGAAGAAACACTACACTCATAAACTCAATTTTATTTTTAGATTCCCAGGTTTCTATTTTATCCCTCTTCTATCTCTTCCTTTAGGTTAACTTCTTTTTCTGGAAGGAAACTGGAAGTTAAACTGGAACACTGTTTCTTTCCATATCCTGTTGTATTTTTAGATTTTCAAAATGTGAACATCCTTGTTGAAGAAACAGTAAAATCAGTTGTAAGGCACAAATGTTGCATTAATTAGAAAGAAATGAAATGGGTATATTTTAAGATGAAAAAAATCTTCATGTGAGTTGCCGAACAGATTTCTAAGACAAAATGATTCATAGCTGTCTGGGCCTTTAAAGAATTCCAAAATTTATAACACAGCAATACTTATATTAAGCCAAGTCAAAGGGCACAAGTACTTGTACCTTGCATATTTTTGCAATTTTTGAATTGTTTTAGTAAGAACAGTTTTTAAAGTTTTGAAGAAATGCAGAAATTGCTTTGTTCAAATAATCATGCAGGCATCTTAATGCTTGGCAAAGCTGGGTCAGGGAAGGAAATATCTCAAGATTATGGTAGAGTAGAGTAGAGTAGAGTAGAGTA